AGATTCATTCAGGATTACTCTAAGATAGTGTTCCCTCTAACTCGATTGACGAAGAAGACAGTCACTTTCCATTGGGGGCCTGAACAACAGGAAGCTTTTGAGACTTTGAAACAGAGACTATGTGAGGCGCCAATTCTGAACTTGGCTGAGGGTGTTAAAGATTTTGTGGTTTATTCTGATGCTTCAATCTCGGGTTTGGGTGCAGTTCTGATGCAGCAGAGTCACATTATTGCTTACACTTCGAGGCAGTTGAAGCCTCATGAGGAGAATTACCCTACACATGATTTGGAGTTGGGGGCGGTGGTGTTCTCCCTCAAGATTTGGTGGCATTACCTCTATGGAGTACGTTGTACTATTTTCACGGAGTACAAGAGCCTAAGGTATTTGATGGATCAGCCGAATATAAACATGAGGTAGCACCGGTGGTTGGATGTGGTCAAGGATTATGATTGTAAGATCCTTTACCATCCAAGGAAGGCCAATGTGGTGGCCTATGCTCTAAGCCGCAAGGATATTGCGGCTCCAATCAAGGACATTTGTTTGAGGATGACAATGATTACTCCACTCTTGGGGCAGATTTAGGCTCATGTTGAGGCTATGAAGGAAGAGCACCGAAAAAGTGAGTGTATTATGGGTCAGGTGGCTTCCTTTGATTATGATAGTCGAGGATTTTTCACTCTCCATAGGATAGTGTGAGTACTTTATTAGGGTGGTCCGCGTCAGGCCCTGATGGAGTAGGCATACAAATCAAGATTCTCCATTCATCCTGGGGAGTCGAAGATGTATATAGATCTCCGTTGAGATTATTGGTGGTCCTGTATTAAGCGGGATATGGCTTGGTATGTAGAGAGGTGCTTGAATTGTAGGAAAGTCAAGGTTGAACATCAGTAACCTCACGAAAAGGTGCAGTCGTTAGACATTCCCATTTGGAAATGGGAAGAGATTACTAAGGATTTTATTACGACGTTGCCTTAGACCGCGTGCAGAGTGGATTCTAAATGGGTCATCGTGGAGTTATTGACCAAGAGCGTGAATTTTATTCTTATTCAGGAGGGTATTTCAGCAGGGAAGTTAGCCGAAATACACATTAGGGAGGTTGTGGCACGTAATGGGGTGTCGGTTTCAGTGGTTTCAGACAGGGATATCCGATTTACTTCCAGGTTTTGGAAGAGGTTCCATGAGGAGTTGGGTACTCGTCTGCATTTCAGTACAGTTTCCACCTGAAGACTGACAGATAGAGTGAGTGGACTTTCCAGACTTTGCTTAGGGTGTGTTTATTAGATTTTGATGGGAGTTGGGATATGTATATTCCGTTAGTGGAATTTTCGTATAACAACAATATCATGCCAACAATATTGATGGGCCTCCTTTTGAGATGCTTTATGGCAGGAAATGCAGGACCCCGATATGTTGGGGTGAGGTTGGTCAGCGAGTTATAGGGAGTATTGAAGTGGTAATCAAGACTATCGAGTTGATTCAGTAGGTTCGGAGCAGACTTGAGACAGCTCAGAGTCAGCATAAGAGCTACGTCGATAGGCGCCTAACAGATATAAAGTTCCAGGTGGGGATATGGTTCTCCTGAAGGTGTCACCTTGGAAATGTGTCATCTAATTCAGGAAGAGGGGAAGTTAGGCCCTAGGTACAACGGTCCTTTCAGGGTTTTGGCTCGGGTAGCATGGGTTGCTTATCGCTTAGATCTTCCAGAGGAGCTTAGTTAGATCAATATCATGTTTCACGTCTCTCAGTTGTGGAAATGTTTAGGGGATGATTTTGTGGTAGTTCTATTGGAGGATATTCACATGGATGATCACTTAAATTAAATCGAGAGATAGGTGGTGATTCTTAACAGAAAGATGAAAACCTTGAGGAATAAGGTTGTTTAGTTAGTGAAAGTTCATTAGCAACACCGCAAGGGTTCATAATGGATGTGGGAGCCGGAGGACGAGACGAGGGAGCATTATCCACAGTTATTGGGGGCAGCAGACTTCGATGACGAAGTATGATTCAAGTAGGGGAAAATTGTAACATTCGAGATTTATTGGTATGTTTGTTTTGACCCTTATTGTAAAAATTTCTATCATTTAAGTCCATAGCTAGTACGCGGTGCATACTCTCCAAGTACGCTTAGCGTACTAGATCATCGATGGATCACTGATGCACCCACGTACATGGGGTATACGTGAGAGTACACAGGGCGTACGTAATGTAGGGACAAACCCTAAATTTTAGGGCTTGTACCCTATTTAAACAACTTAAGACACCCTTGGACCTCCTAATGAACAACCTCCATCACTCTATACCCTGAGATCGAAACCCTAAGAGACATTTGTGAGATTTAAGCTTGATAGTGGGTTTTTTTTTTTTGGTGAAGTGGAAGAAGAACACTTGGAGGTGGTTTGGAAGTGACTTGAGCTTGTAGATCTAAAGTCATCTTCATCTTAGCAAGTCATTTGAGGTAACAATCTCTCATCTTGATGGTTCTTTATGCTAGATCCAACTTAGGGTGTTATCTGTGCATTTTTTGGTCTTTTAATCCATATTTGAGATTTTGGTCTACTCCAGACGCCATGGATGTTAGATCTTTGCACATTTGAGGTCCCTTGTCTATAAAAATGCAACCTTTATGAGTTATTTTGGTCCATGCAAGTGTTAGGGTTCTTAATATGGTTATTTTTGAGTTTTGGGTCCCATTAGGTCATGCATGGGAGTAAAGTTGCCAGCTTTACGTGTTAAGTCACCATTTAGGATCAGATTTTAGTGTTGACATGATGGCCTAACTGGTTAAGTGCTTAATGAATTGATTTGGTTGTCTTCGAAGTATGTGAGGCGTACCCAGCTCGTACTGGCCCCGAAAGGAGTACGCCAAGCGTAAGTCTGAGTACGCCCAACATACTCAGCAGTTTGATTATCGGTTGACTTTTACGGGTTTAGGCCATATCTGGGCTTCTAGGGTTGGGACTTATGCCTTTGGGCTATGGTTAGTCTATGGGCCTTCTTGGAATTGGGTCCATGATGGTTTTTGGGCCCAATTAGGAAGTTGTGCCATATTGGGCCTTAGGATGCCATTTAAGAATTTGGGCCTTAGGATGTCATTTAGGAATTGGGCCTTTAGAGCATATTAGTTGGGCCTTGGTTTTGGGCCAAGTAAGAAAATGGTAAAATGATCTTTTACCCTGGATGTTGGCAAATATTTAGATTCCTGATTATGGATCGGGATCCAATTATTAATTGGATATTATTTGTTGGTGTTAGCATGAGGATTTTCCAGAACAGCAGATCGAGATTTTATTTGAGAGATTTAATAGCTTGAGGTGAGTTTCCTCACTATGTTTTCAGGGTCGAAGGCACCAATATCGGCCAATAGTTTGTTATGATTATGATGCTAGTTGTCTACATGACTCTTGCATGTGTTATGTGTTTATATGTGTACCGAGCGGGCCTGATGAATATATTGTATGTTATTTATCTTTGTGATTTTTGCATGTATTTATGTGTTTGTATGTGTACCGGGCGGGGCCTGATGATAGATAGATCTGTTCTGATCGGGGTTCGATGTCGTGCAGGTCCCAATGCCGGGCGGGGCCCATTAAATAAGTATTCATTCAAAAACATTTTCAAGAGTATAATAAAAGCATCTATTTGCTCAAAACATATGATATTGAGTACCAAAATCAGAGTAATAACAAATCATAGTAACTAGGGATGAGCATCGGATTCAGGTACCTGCTTTTGGAACTGGAACCGCCTTAAGTGGTTCCGATTCCGGTTCCTAAAGTTATGGAACCGCCTTAAGCGGTTCCGGTTCTGGTTCTCATTTTCGGAACCGCTACCCGTTGGGTACCCGCCGGAACCGGTTTATATATATATATATATATATATATATATATATATATATATATAAACATGCGTGTTACTAAGACCGGTTTAGAATATATTGGTCCGATTTTGTCCGTCTTTGGTCTGAATTAACTTTATTTTGATCGAACTGAATTGCGGTTTTATCGGCAAAAGTTAAGAAAATTAATGTAACCGGGTTACCCGCTCTCGGAACCGGAACCGTCGGTTCCGAGATTGGTTCCAAACATTTAAGAACTACCTGGAGCGGTTCCAGTTCCGGTTCTAACTTTCTAGGAACCGCCGGCTCCTGTTCTCGCCAAATGAGGCGGGTACCCGCCTATGCTCATCCCTAATAGTAACATCATACCGGCAGAAGTCTAAAAATCGGGGTTTATGGGCAGAAGTCTCAAAAAACGTGATCTACGGATGTGAAACACTTTCAAAAAATCATATATTGTTACATTTATAAATTTAAAACTAATGCATAAAAATACATATCAACAAACATAAACAACCATAAATGAACAAACATATAAAAAAAAAAAAAAAAAAAAACATCAATGAGCATAATTCAAACAAGAATAAGCCTAAATGAACATTAACATTCAAATCAAGAATCGAAAAACATAACATCAACACTTCTAATATACTAAATGTACTAACATTACAAAATATCTATGTTGTAAAACTTGAACCGGTCTTAAAAGTTTCACTTTCACTCTAATCAATTGTATAATATCATATAATAAACTAACATAAATGATGTAAATAAACGTTCGTGAACATAATTGAACGAATGAGAACATTTTGTATTCATTCGTTTAACTAAAAGCACAAAAAATCTTGTTAATACTTGTCAATTTATTAAATAAATTAACGAAATTTCCGCTGAATAATTCACGAGCGATTTATTTAACGTTTGATTCGATTATAACTGTCCCGGCAATAATAATTCACACAAACAATACCAGGGTATAGAAGTGAATAGGGCCCATTTTTATTATCAAAATAATCAATCATACTGAATTGCTGATAGTGTCACGTCATCACGATAATGATAACAATAATGTCACTTCTTAAAATTTTTTGTGGTTTTCCTTTTTTTTCAAAAAAAAAATCTGGAAAATATGTTTTCGAAGAGAATGTATGTAGAGCAGAGAAAATTATTCCAGAAATCCAGTTTTGATCAAGACAGTATCTCTTACTCTACTAAGATCTCTACCTTTGAGTGTTCTTCCAGCACCTTCACATACAGAAAATGAAGAAATTTGACTCCTTGCAAGCTTCTGTGCAATCCATTCATGAGGTGGCATCATGCTCCCATCATCATCATCATCATCATCATCACTGTCCCAACTCGCTCTACCATTATGACCACCTTCATCATCATCACCATCACCATCATCATCACCATAATTAAGCCACGTAGAATTCTGTGCTGATCTCTTTGACTTTCCATAAATCTTTGACCAATCAGGAACGTTGACAGGTGCTGATTGTTGTTGAGGAATCCTAGATTCCATGCAGGGATTGTTTGTACCAGGTCTTGGAATCATTCTGGCTGCAGTCGAAAGAGGAATGCTTCTTGAAGTCAAATTAGAAGATGACGATCCTTTTGACTTGATAGATTTTGAATCAAAATCATTTCTTTGATTCCAAACAGACCAAACATCAGTTTCTTGAAACTCGTCATTTCCAGTCATGTATGACCATCCACTGCTTCCTTTCCTGTACATACCATACTCACCTTCCATTCAAAGATTCACCTTTTCAGCTGGTTGTGTGAAAAATGATCAAATTTTATAAACTTTCGACCTTCTAACTACACTAAAAATACAAACTTTGAAGTAATGAAAAGGGGTTTTAGAGATAGTGGAATTCTTGAGGTCTGAGGATTGTACTTTATAAGGTTACAAAAATCTTGCTCGAATGCTCACAATCACCAAATTTGTGCCCATGCTGTTTCTACTTTCTCGAATGAAATGACCCAACTTCAATAAAGAGTTATCACTAAAATGAAAAAAAAGAAACCTAAAAGCATGTGAAAGTTTTGAATAAGAAGTAGAACAAGGATGGGGTAAAGTTGTAATTTAATTATCTTCAAAGGGGCATGAAAATTTCGTTTTCTCCTGCTCTTACAAGCCGCCAAGCAGATAATATTAGTAAAACTAAAGAGTATAAACTCGATCAAAGTTTCTATACCCTTGATGGTTCTTTATAAGATTGGAATATACTCAATTATTGGACTTCAATGGTTAGATCTTTTTGACAGTTTTTTTATTCGTCCACTTGTTCCATATAAGTCCAATTCATCTTTATTGTTTATGTTGCTTTTATGATCCTACGTCAGAAATAAATAAATAAGACTACTTTATTAGAGATAAAGGGGAAAAGGCTTTAATGATAGATTGATAGTAGTTCTATGTGCCATTTATTGAAGCATAGAACGTAATTTTTCTATTAAAGGTTAACTAGATTCGTGATTTAATGTGATCAAGAAAGCACAAAATATGTTGGCTTATGAAAAAGGAGCCTTCTTTCATTGATTCTTTGAATGGTATTTGTAACTATCAAATAAATATCAATAACATCAATCGACCTTTTCTTAAAATAATCGATTTCGTGAAAGCCATAATGGTCTTTCCAATTTGTTTGATGAACTCCAGCTATCATTCAATGTATCAGGTCATACAAATACAGTCGCAGAAAATCTTCAAAACCAGCAGCTGTTAGGTACTATTTTACCTTTTTGTCTAGAAATATTACTGAATAAAATGAATGTAAAAAGTAAATTTAGGGAGAAGTAAAAAGGTAGATAGGTAAAGAACATTATCAATGGATAAATGCTCCTTACTATAACCCATTATATATAAATATTTCTTTTTTATTTAATGTATAGACAATCACTTAATAGAGATAGTCAGTGAACAAGTTTTTCCCTGTTAGTCCTGACTTTTCACAAATTTGATTATTTTATGTAAACCACACTTAATGAGGGGAAAAAAAAAAAGAACAACCGCTTAGGGGTTGTTTGGTAACCTTTGAATGAAACTATTCAGAAGTAACCTCTGAATCGGTTAGCATTCAAGGGGTTTGGAACAATATCTGCAGGATCTTGAAAGAATCAAAAGCCTTGGAATTTCATCTAAATAGCTAGGCAACAATATTAAATTCTCTTAATCATTAAGAGGTTGGAACCATTCAGTTCAGCCATCAGCATGATTTAGTTTGGTGTACAGCAGCCGCCATTCGATGTATATAGTACCAATTCAAAACCAATCAGATCTCCACTGTTTTTCAAATATATTTAAACCATTTGTGATTACTTTTGGAAAATTAAGAGAGTGATAATATAAATAAAGGAAAAAAGAGAATGGTTTGGACTGTATCGTGTTTATGGTCCTAAATATAGTTGGTTGCAGCCACCAAAGCACGAGATGGGCCCCGAATCTTAACAGAGTTAACTTCTTTGACATGTATTAAGTTTATTCAAATGCTGATTTTATATAAAAAGGGTCCCCTTAACATCTATATATTATGTAAACAAAGACGTCTGTAAAAGTAGTCAGTGCTATATGAACAAATGATTGTTTGTTTATATTACTAAAGTGGCATCATATTGAGTTGGGTGTTCTTTAACAAGATTTTCCACTATAAGGTGCTCCTACTTTTCAAAAAATTGTACTTGGCTTTTTTTGCAAACTAAATTTCATTCTTGTGAAAATGCTAAAAAAGACATTATAGTTTGCAAGAATGAGCGATTATGAACAAGTATGGATGTATATATGTCAAAAGCATTTTTGTTTTTATAACAAAAAATCAAACATGATGCATCCAAAGTCATTTTAAATAGTCCTAATATATTAATATGCATTCAAGGCGATTGAAAAGATTCGCACGTGTTTATAAAAAATTGGGCATTTAGGTGAAATTAATCATCTTTTAAATAGTCCACTTGTTCCATATAAGTTAAATACTTCAATGCATGTTGAGTTTTTAATTCTGACTTTCATATCCCCTGAAACATTTGTCGTCTTCCACCCCATCATTATCAATTCTAAAAGCATGGATATGAATCAAGGATATTGACAGTAGATCCTAAGGAACATTTTTTAAGGGATAAAGCCAAAGGGATACATAATGGTGGATTGAAGAGCAATAATAGTATATAGCATAGTTTGATTAACAGAATATGTCCTTTATATAACCCAATATACAGAAGTACCTTTTTCTCACAACTTAATCCTTTCAGGAAGCTAATTTTTGTCCAACGATACACCTCAACAATCATTATAGGCATCTCCCTATACACAAACAATATTTTCAAAATCAATCGGTTATTTCTGGATTTTTCATATATGATTTTCAACTAAGTTTATAACTCAGATATAGGGAAAAAAGAAGGTAATTTTGGAGATGCTCTAAGTGAATTCAAACACATATTATATGAAAATTTCACAGTTAATGACAGCAGTCAAGGGTAGACACTGTATGGCAGTGTCTACCATTGCATGCAAACATTTAAGCATCTTGCAACCAAAACAACATAGCACACATAAATTGCTACAATATAGTAAAACACGATATACATAGACAAAATTCTATAAAACATTTGCAACCTTTAACTATTGATACATACTAACTACGTAAATTTTTACTCAATTGTCCAGCAAGCACAATGGACTTGACACTTGTACTTGTTGTCACCCACTCTCTTTCTGCCCTTCTTTGTCGTTGTCTAGCATTCTTTGCACGTTTAGGAGCCAATCTAGCATCTCTCTCAACAAACGCAAGCCTAAATTTCTCAGCAATTGGCAACTCAACTGAGCTCAAAACAGGTTGAGTTGTCCTTATAAGCTTAGATCCTGAAACTGCCCATGTTTTTGGGTCGATATCTTCTACAATAAATTCATCCAATGCTACACCAGGTAACGCGTGTTTGGGAATATCAATCCCTTTGTGCCCAAAGAATGATGGTTTCGGGTTCACTATAATACGTGGACATTCGGTTGCCAAAATCTCTAATGAATCTTTGTCAATTGTTGGCTGTAAAACAAGCACAAAGAATAAGTCTAAGACCATGTTAAGCAGACTAGCTGATAGCTAAAAAACTAGCTGCTAACTGACAAACTAGCCGATAAAAATGACGTAGCAAAACTATCTAATAAGCTAGCTGAATAATGTGAAATGACATAAAAAGGCATGTAGAATGTTGAGCTTTTTTATAATTAATAAAGGGTATATTTGGGAGAAACATTGTAAGTAAGTTTGAATACGTACCCATACAAGCCAACGTAAAGATTGTGCTCCATGTATGATCTCTGTGGTATCAAGTTCTTCCCATGAATCGCCTTCAACATCATTCAATGTTGGTTTCAAGATGCTTAAAGAGTTGCGTGCAGTATGTTCACTCCTTGGGCATCCTCTGCAATATTAACTGCGTTCATAGCCCGTATACAATAAGCCCAAAATATTGGGTTGTTCATCTTGTGGTGTAGTCAACAATTTTTTACATACAACATTTTATATGAATATAAAATAGAAAATAGAAAAGAAAGATATGGAAATCGTACCCCCATCTCAATATCTCTAGACAAGGGCAATTTTTCACAAGTTCTGAAACACCAAATGGAGTGATCTTGCTGCAACGACTGTATAAGAAACTAATGTTAATGGAAATAGCATACAAAAGACAAAAGTGAATCTTCATGTTATAACACCTTATGTCCATAGCTTTTAATTGGCTACAAATCCTTATCACTTTCAATAAACCGATATCTGAGACTTCTGAATCTGATAAATCGAGAATTTCCCATGAGCTTTCAGCCAATGCAACGATCACATCATCACTTAGCAAATTTCTTCTTCTTGCAATGGCTGTTATGATCATCTGATAAGTTGATCATTCATTTGAAGAATTTAGACTAAAACACAAACATTCTTTTAAAGAAATATACTCAAATCTCTATGACTAGAATCTAAAAAGTTCTTTTTGTTAAAAATACATAATGACACATACTAACAAACTGAACAAAAAAAAAGAAAAAAAAAACTACCCTGAATTTCCCCATCCAACGGCCTTTACCAAATAAAACTAAGCCATGAAATTTACAACCAAAATGCATAGACCTAATTGAAAACTATGTAAAGCAGCATGTAGCTTCCTGATCTTTAATTATGTAGTTCCAAATGTAATGAGGGATGTCACAACAATGTGCTTATTGAATGAAAATTTTAAGATACATGTCAAAGGACTAGAGTTTAGTCAATAAGCACCACAATGAAAACATATCCAAACTCCTATTAAATAATATTCACTATAACGCAAATTGGTTATCCTCATTTTGCTACAATCTTGAGCATCAAAAGGATATTCACATACATAAGTGTGAAATAACAGAATCATAATACCTACCTTAATGTCTGGTGGGAAACTGGCCACAAGATCTAAATCCTCAATAATATCCTCAAGATGTTTGCCTATAAATCCAAGACACAAGCTTACAAGAGCAGGAGGTTTTCTCTTCTCCAAAGGTGACCCTGTTACACAAACAAAACAATTATAAGCAAGCTGATTGCAGCCAAATAAAATACACATATTCAAGTTCAAACTAAACCAAAAGAAAAACTGATATACTCAGCAACACTTCTTTAGTTCTTTTATATGTAACTCATAGCTGTGAAGTTCAAAACAATCAGAAACTTCTCTTCAAAATTTATCTCAGCCTACTAAATTACGAAATATGATATTCAT